TTTTTAGTGGCCACATGATATGCTCCCTGAGGGACTCAATACTACACTAATCAAGAAATTAATAGTGGTTATTTTGGCAGCTGTAATATTAGTCCATTAAATAAACATGAAATCTTTTAATACAATGAATCAAAGTCAATTAACATTAAACTACATAATTTAAGATTTTATCACAGTTTAACCCCTAAATCTCACCCCCTAGATTCATCATCATCAATTAGCCTATATTTATCCAATGCTGAACGTAGGTCTCCCGTAAAGTTTTTCACCTATTTCTTTCTTGAGCTTCTTGCATCCAGTTTGTGGTGATGCGCTACATATCATCCGTCCATCTAGTCGGTGGTCGTCCTCTACTTCGATATTCCTCTTGCCTTGGTCGCCATTCCAGAATCTTTCTGGTCCATCCATCATCTGTTAATCTGGCAACATGTCCGGCCTAAGCCCATTTAGCCATGGCTATTTTTTCAACTGCATCTGTGACTCCTGTTCTTCTTATTTCTAGCTTAGGTTAGGTTATTGTTCTTTTTGTCAGTCAGTGTTTCCGCACCATATGTAAGAACCGGTAAAACGCACTGGTTAAAAACCTTTCTTTTTAAACAAACTGGGATAATAGACTTGGAAATGTTATTCAATCTACCAAAGACAGCCCATGTGAGACCTATCCTTTGTATTTCAGTTGTCTGATTATCTCGGTCTAAGCGAATCTCTACAAACATTTAGGGGTTTGCTTCACTGATACTAATGACCAGACAAGAGAAATCAAGAAGCGAATAGAGATAGCGAGACAATCGTTTGTCAAAATGAAAAAGTTCCTATGCAGCCGGGACATAAATATAAACTTAAGAACGAGAATGTTAAGGAGCTATGTTTCCCCGTTCTGCTGTACGGCATGGAAGCCTGGACACTGAAAAAGATAAACATTGAGGCATTCGAGATGTGGTGTTACAGGAGAATGTGGAAAATATCATGGACAGAAAGAGTAACAAATCAAGATGTTCTGCTGAAGATGGGGAAGAAATGCGAAGTCATAAAAACCATACAAACGAAAAAACTGTAATATCTGGGCCACATAACAAGAGGAGAAAAGTACTCTCTGCTTAGACTCATAATCCAAGGAAAAATCTCGGGAAACAGAAATGTGGGACGTAGGAGGATTTCCTGGTTGGAAATTTAAGGGAGTGGTATGGGTGCAGTTCAATACAGTTGTTCAGAGCTGCAGCCAACAAAGTAAAGATTGCTGTGATGGTAGCCAACCTCCGATAGGAGACGGTACTGCAAGAAGAAGAAGAAGAAGCGAATCTCATGCCCTAGATATTTGTAAGCTATTACTTGGTCGATGCTATGGCTGTCAATCAGAATTTTAAAGCTGACTACAAGGTTGGTCATAAATTTTGTCTTTGAGGTGATAATTTTAAGACAATTGTTTTTGATACTTTATAGAGCGTGTGCAGCATTTTTGTAGCTTTATCAACTCTATCAGATATTAAAACGATGTCATCGGCAAATCTTAGGGTGGTTCAGATCTTCCCCATTTATTTAATTCCCATATTATCCTCTCGTTCCATTTTCTTGAACATATATTCAAGAACAGCTGTAAACAATTTAGGGGAGATAGTATCACCCTGTCTAATTCCTCATTCTATTCGAAACTTCTTTGTATCGTCATGAAGGCGGACATGAGCTGTACCAATTTCGTAAATACTTTTAATCCCCCTAGATTAGTTGTAATTAAAACAATGTCATTAATACCTTGTCTCCACTGGTTTGCATGGAAATTTGGATTTAGGTTATACTTACGCTTCACAAAAAAACATGTAATTGTAAATTCAAGCCATATGGAATTATTTAATTATCCAGTGACATTAAATTTCTTTGCTGTTTTAATTTTTTACCACATAATTTCTACCCTTATAAAAACCACCCCTTGCGAAGAAATTCGAATAGTTGTCGTATTTTAAGTTTATGTTTGCCGACAAGCGACAAAAACATTTTTAGAACGATTCATACGATACATATAGGCGAGCGTACCCCTATAAGCAGAGCATCAACCGACTAAAATTCTTTTTGCATTTCTAATGCACCAAACCTTTTTTATTCGATTCTATATATTTTTCCAAGATGAAATGTATTTTTTTTAATTTTTACAAGTGATTTTTGGCATTTTTTTCTAAAAAATTACTAAATGAATTGCAATTTTACAAATAGCTTTATAATCTTTAAACCGTCGAGTACAAGTTAGAATATTTTGACAAGGATAAATGGTTTCTATCTCGCTAAAAACGTGGACCCAAATATTTCGAATGTGCCTTTCGAGAGTATCCCGTTAAGCGTGTACAGCGGTTGAGGTGCTGTAGGAGCTCGAATCTTTTGACTTTTTTAATAATGTAATATATATATGAAAAATATCTGATAATTGATTAAATGAAAGTTTAATTTTATTTAATACTACGTAGGTAAGTAAATACTAGGTTACAATTACTAAATATTCTACATTTCACTACAAATTTCTTAGATACAGTCCGTCCCAAACCCTTCTTTCAGTGCGTCATAGTTGTTCGAATTCTCTCTAACGCATTAAGCTAGAAGTGACAGAAAAAAACGTGAGTCGCTGATTATTATACATAGAACTTAGAAAATTAGGTATCGTTCACGGGTATTCGAATATTAAAGCGAATTCTACTTCTTCTTTAAGTTCCATCTTCTATCGAAGGTTGGAAATCATCATGGCTATGCGGACTCTGTTGACTGCCGCTCTAAAAAGTTCTGCACTACTGCATTCAAACCATTCCCTCAAGTTCTTAAGCCAGGATATTCTTCGTCTTCCCACATTTCGCTTTCCTCGGATTTTGCCCTGCATAATAAGTTGTAATAATGCGTATTTTTGCCCTCTCATCACATGTCCCAAGTACTCAAGTTTTCGTCTTTTAATAGTTAATATTATTTCCGCCTCATTTCCTATCCTTGTAGTTACTTCCATGTTTGACATTCTTTGAGTCCATGATATTCGTAGGATTCTTCTGTAACACCAAAATTCAAAGGCGGCCAACTTATTCAGATGAACTTGTTTTAGTGTCCAAGCTTCCAGACCATAAAGAAGAGTAGAGAACACGTAACATCGAAGCATTCTCAGGCGTAGTTCTAACCTTATATCCCGACAACAAAGAAACTTTTTAAGTTTAATAAATGATGTACGTGCTATTTCAATACGTGTCTTAATTTCTTTGGTTTGGTCTACATCTGATGTTATCCATGTTCCTAAGTATTTATAGTTATTAACACTCTCAATTGCAGTATCTTCAATAGTCAATTGGATATTTGCATGTGCAGATTTAGTCATGATCATGCATTTAGTTTTCTTTAAATTTATCTTCAGTCCGTACTCATGACAGCGTTCGTTAAGGCGTTGCATTACGTTCTGTAAATAATTGTTGTTATCCGTAATTATTATTATTATTATTAATTATTATTAATTCTACTACTTAATACTTCTACTAATTAATTCTACTTACCAACGTATAATTGGTTGGAGTTTAGAATACGCTAAATAGATATCCAATCAATTATGCATATAAATATAATTTGACACAGATGATCTTGATAATGACAGTGACAGTACTTTCACAATGTCAACTGATAAAATAATAATTGCCATTCCAGGTTAGTATATTCAGACATTTTAACTACAGTGAAAATTAAATTTGGTATTTATTGTCATAAAAATATTTTAAATATTTCGAGATATACCGAGAATGAAAAAAGACTAATATTAAAATTATTAAATTAGTTTCAATTAGAAAAAGAGGCTGAGACATCTTTATTATCAGTTTCTGTCGTTCGCGAATCAGATTGTGAATTCCGGAATGAGATGGAGGAAATATTTTAAACTAATGCCTTTATGAATATTTATATGTATTAAAACGGTTCTTTTTAGAACCACGACATTTTCTTGAAATGTAGGATATAATTGATACCAGCCACATATCTAGTGTAATTATTGATTTTCAAGAATCAGATTCTGAATGGGATTATAGATTGTTTGAAATATAATATTCATTTTTGTTATTCATAAAAAAGAAGGTAAACTTACATTCGGTATCTTGTTTTTTAACTGAACTCCATTAGCACGATTTCATCTGGATATCGGAACTGATAGATTAACTCAAAAATCAACTGCTTCACTATTTAAACTATTTATATTGTTTTTTTTTAACTAAACTTTATAACCTTCTTTCATTTGCACACCAAATCTGGTATAATAACTTTAAAATCAACTGCTTCACTATTTAAACTACTTCCACTATTTAATGACAACTCTTCACAAAATTAAACTATTGGCTGCCACACAAACTTATCAGAAAATTACTTATCCAAATATGACTGATTTAAATCGATATTATTTTATCACAGGAATGTTTACTTTGATGCCTTGCAATTGTCAGTAAACATCAGTAAATTTTTTTACCTTGCAGTCAACTCTTAAAAGATTCTAAGAGGAAGCGTTATTTTAAATAAACAAACCTTCCAATTCCCTAGTGTTTGTAATAAATAATAATAAATCCATAAACAAATCTTAGCTAATTAAGCACTTTCCATGGAATGTATAAAATAGAACAGAATAGAATAGAATTATGAAAAACTGCTATGCATTAAAAAAAATAACCTTTTCACGTTTAGCCGATTACGATCCTGCAACTGTCAGATTTAACTAAAATGTCATGCAATAATTCTCGACATTCTTACAATCCTATATGACGTTAAAATTAGTGACGCACTGAAAAAAGGGTTTGGGACAGACTGTAATTCTAAATTAGCGCCAACGATATAGACTTGTTTTAACTTGTTATTGGGCGCGTGTTGCAACAATATCGTACCGCACTTATATAGGTAAAGTTATTGTGAGATTGAAAACGATTTTCGTTGCTTTCGCAAATATAAGAAAGATTCTGATTATTATGAAAAATTTTATCATACAAAAAAATCATTTTTATTAACTTTCAAGTATGGATTGTGATAAAAATGTGTCGAAGAAAAGGAAATCAGCTTCTGAACAAGTCGACACTTTGGAAAATAACAAAACCTTAAGATCCAAAGTTGCAAGTTTTGATTGGGAAAATTTGTGCTTTATTTGTTTGGAAAACATTCAATAATATAGTCACCAGGTATATTAAAAGAAAAATTACATTATTATAGCATTGTAAAAAATTAATTTTAATTGTTTTAATTATATGTCTATATAAAAATAATTAGAAATATCTTTTTTTTTTTTAATAAATTGTACGTAATATTTATATTGAATTAATTTTGCAAGTTTTGATTGGGAAAAGTTGTGCTTTATTTGTTTGGAAAACATTCAATAATATAGTCACCAGGTATATTAAAAGAAAAATTACATTATTATAGCATTGTAAAAAAATAATTTTAATTGTTTTAATTATATGTCTATATAAAAATGATTAGAAATATCTTTTTTTTAATAAATTGTACGTAATATTCGTATTGAATTAATTTTTTAAATTTAAACAAATATTTCTACGCGCCGCACGCCTGTATCGCCGCAACCGCTGTACACACTTAGCGGTAGACTGCTCGAAAGGCATATTCGAAATATTTGGGTCCACGTTTTTAGCAAGATAGAAAAAAATTATCCATGTCAAAATATTCTAACTTGTACTCGACGGTTTAAAGAATATAAAGCTATTTGTAGAATTGCAATTCATTTAGTAGTTTTTTAGAAAAAAAAAAATCCCAAAAATCACTAATTAAGGAATTTTTTCAACAAAAAAATGCAAATAAATCGAAAAGGAAGCATTTTTCGAAAAATTATCAAGAGAGAAAAAGTGTTTATTTTGATGAGATACACCTAAAAAAATTGATTCCGAAGCAATTCAGTGAAATTGCTTTTTTATATGTTATTTGTTAATAACAATTGCCGGCCCACTTGTAAAAATTAAAAAAAAATACATTTCATCTTGGAAAAATATATAGAATGGAATAAAAAAGGTTTGGTGCATTAGAAATGCAAAAAGAATTTTAGTCGGTATATTCTGTTTCTAAGCGTCTTTTGAGGGGTAAACCGCTCGCCTAATAGCTTCATTGGCGATTGTTTCAGCAAATTGCGGTCACGAATGTTGATCTGTAGCTGTAAATGACAATTTACTTTCTAAATGTTAACTTTAATTTCAGCAATCTTGCATTTGTTTCATTATTTTTAATTGCAAATTAAAGTTTGTTTAAGTATGGATTTTAAATTTGAACAATATTGGATGATAAACGGCTAAAAATTATTTGATATTTATTCCAACGTCTTATGCGACCTTCCGCACGTAGTCCGTAAGTGAATCTCTTCCTTACAAGCATGGCGCTGTATAGTCCAGTCAATGATCGTTTTTTAGGAAGTGTAACTTTTCAGAAATTTTTATACCCAACAACCCAAATTAAGACGGTTGTTCGAGAATAACTCAAAAAGTAAGCATTTTATCAATAAACTCATTCTTAAAGAGGTGCTGAAACTGGATGAAATAGGAAGGTTATTACATATGATGTATTACATATAAAAGTTATTTGGAAGCTGAAAAACGAAGAAAAAGCGCTAAAATAGGCGGGAAATCGCGTTTTTTGGACTCATATAGGGCGCAGCGGCTTCAAACATATAAAAAGGATTTCTGAGACAACTTTTATTCGAAAGTACTTATATTAAGGCGTCTTTTGTGAAAATTGAAAAAAAATTAAAGAGGGTGTTTTTGAGATATGAATTTTTTAAAAAAAGCGCATTGTTTCACATTTTGTGGCTTTATATGACGTCATATGGCAATTCTGACACCGGGATCTGTTCAGCGGAAAATTTTACATTGGAAAACATATAGTGGATATTTGTTTAAGCATATTTAGCTCGCTGTACTAAAAAAATTGGCGGTTAATTAAAAAAAGGTTATTACATATGATGTATTACATATAAAAGTTATTTGGAAGCTGAAAAACGAAGAAAAAGCGCGGGAAATCGCGTTTTTTGGACTGATATAGAGCGCAGCGGCTTCAAACATATAAAAAGGATTTCTGAGACAACTTTTATTCGAAAGTACTTGTATTAAGGCGTCTTTTGTGAAAATTTGAAAAAAAAATTAAAAAGGGTGTTTTTGAGATATGAATTTTTCAAAAAAAGCGCATTGTTTCACATTTTGTGGATTTATATGACGTCAAATGGCAATTCTGACACCGGGATCTGTTCAGCGGAAAATTTTACATTGGAAAACATATAGTGGATATTTGTTTAAGCATATTTAGCTCGCTGTACTAAAAAAATTGGCGAAGCACGAAAAAAAATTGATAAAAAGCGTGAAACTTCAATAGCGCACCACGGCCTCCATTTTGAATATTAGGGTCTGAAAATTTGACAATCATGTTTTTTTTTGTCCAGTACAACATGTGTGTAAAATTTTAGCCAAATCGGAGAGGGTGACCCCACCGACTTGTGTCGATTATTGCTGGAATCACCCATATTGTAGCATTTTCAAATTCATTGATTTTTTTTATGTATATTGAAATCCCCTCGTATATGTAATATATTGAAATCCCCTCATATATGTTTGAAAAAACGAAGAATTTTTATATATTTTAGAAATATTTAAGAAATATTTTAATTCCTTCTTATGCGGCTCGAGTTCATATAAACCATTTTTGAGTTGTTTATTTATTTCGCAGCTGCGTATTTTCCTGTTGATAATTCTTTGATTTAAGCCGCCCGATGTGCTGCGTTTTCAAATTCCGTTTCACCACTGCTCGGTGAAGAGCGGTGATCTTCAACATTAGGTCCAAATTTTACGTCAAATTTGAAATGCTCCTCGTTCGTCTTTTTTATGAAGAATATGTAAAATATAGTAGCAGTTTAATGGTTCAGTTACAGTTTTAAGTGAGTTTTGAAATGTTGCTATTGTATCCAGTTGTACCTATTCCTGTTTTTAAGAAGTCAAGTCCAGTTTAGTTTCCAATGGATGTGTACCAGTGTCCCGAATTCCTTTTTGTTCGTGTGTCAGAGATTCCCAGCCATTGTTGAGCCCAGTTTACAGCTCAAGTGTAATTTTTGTGAAACTCAGGTAACTTTTTTGTGATAAAATTTTAAAGTAAAGACAGACATTTTTATAACAAGAATTGCTTTCGTAACAATTTAAATTTTATTTTTTTTTAATTGTAAATTTCAGGTTTTAACTTTAGCTGTCATTTTAATTGTTATTTTAAATTTAAGATTAATTTATGACAGTTTTAGTATTTTTGATATTGGTTTGTTTGTTTTTTTTTAAGAGAAAAGGTTCACCTCCATGCAATTTTGTAAGTTTTGCAGCAACAGAATTTGTAAACAGATGACACATGTAAGTTTTTTTGTATTTTTGTATTTTGCAACTGTTTGAGGTAATATTTTTTTGCATTGTCTTATTTTTGTAACTGTTTGTGGTGACACAACAATAAATGTTAAATTTTTTCTTAACATTTTGTTTATTTCCCAACCGCATCGTAAAAAAACTTGCTAGAACGTTATTTTTAAAATTTTAATGTTATAAATTTTTTTCGTGTTTCTAATGTTTGCGAAATGTCGGAACACGAAGAATATCGTGGTTTAAGAACTTGAGGGAATGGTTTGAATGCACTAGTGCAGAACTTTTTAGAGCGGCAGTGAACAGGGATAGAAGAACTTGAAAGATGAAGAATGTTTGCGATCATCATGGATAACTTTATCTAGTCTGCAGTAGAGCAGAAAAACTGCACAAATGTTGTGTTGAAATAGGTTCTTAGGTCCTTTAACCAGTTTCTTCCTGGACCACGCATTCCAAATATTTTTCTTTTTTTTTTCTTATTTCTCATTTCTGACTCGGTCAGTCCACGGGATCGTAAGTATTCTCCAATATAGCCACATCTCAAATGCTTCCAAACTTCTGAACATATTTTCGTTCAAGGTCCACGATTCAACATAACAAGGACAGAGAGAACATTATTTTCAGATCTTGTTTGTTAATTCCTCCTTCTTTTGGTATTTACAAATCCTTCTTGACGCGAGATAAACAATAAATGGAAATAAATTATTTATAATCGTAAACTAAGCTTAGACATTCGAATTAGAGTTATTAAATGCTACGTTTGGCCAGTCCTTCTGTATGGAGTCGAAGCCTGAACATTAAGATTAAATACTATGAGACAGCTAGAAACCTTTGAAATGTGGCTTTATCGCAGAAAGCTCAGAATATCTTGTGACAAAACACGTTACGAATCGAACAGTATTAAATACCATAAATATAGAGTTAGAACATATCGCACGTTCCGAAGAAAAGTGTAATAAATCACATTATTTTCTATTTTCACTTTTCTATAGGAATGGATAGTACATCAAATGCTCTATCTCCGAAGAAACCCGTAATAATTTATCTTCAATAGTTATCGCATAGATGGCGAAAGAATCACTATTCTTCGGAACATGTTCATCGGCATATTCCGATGAAAACAGTAATAAGACGGAGTTATCGTGGTATGCACTGCGGCACTCCGATGTATTACCGATCAAAAGTGTAATAAGTAATAAGTGTAGTTATTACTGTCTATTTTAGAACTGTTGTAAACTTTAGTTTCGTGTTCTCAAGGTAAAAGTGTAACATTTCGTGTTGCTACTCGTATTATCGGAATCTTTGCCAATATTTCCACTTTACGTTCGGCGAAAAGTGGAATATTTGTAGTTATTGCTGTTTAGTTTGTAAGAGTTTACACTTCTATTTCGCGTTTTCCGAGGAAGACCGTAATATTTTGAGTTGTAACTCTGATCATCGAAATATCTTTCGGTTTTATCACTTGACTTCCGCCGAAAAGTGTGGTATTTTTAGATAATACTATTTTCTTCGGTAAGTTCTAAAAAATCTATTTATTTTATGTAATATTTAAAGGAATTGTACAATTGTACAATTTAAAGGAATTAATACCTGCGACATCAATGGGGAATTCCCCATTTAAACATGTAAAGTCCTTACGTAAAACGATAGTACAATCACAGTCGCTACTAATACATAAAATCTATGGGATTTCCGCATTATAAAACTTTATTAGAATGCATTTTATTTGACATAAAAGGCTGGCCGGCGAAACCCCAGGTTATAAACTGAAGTTGAAATTGAATCTCTTGTATGCAAAATTTTTTATGAATAAGATATTATAAACTACAGATAGATAAAAGAATGCTGATTAAAAATTAAGATTTATAAAGTAAAAGCCAAAAATTGTGATTTGGGGCAAAAACAGATCCCGGTCAGCTCGATGAATGCTTACAGTTAATTTTGGAATTTTATAAATATGCAAGCAAGCAGCTTTTTTCTATAATACATCAGATATGTACTTTTCTATGCTAGTCAACAGTGTATTTTGTTTTTACAGATTAATTGAGTTCAATAACAAGTCGTATTCTACAGGCTGCCCTATGCAGCGATCGAAGTAAGCAAATCAAAGAAGTAGAAAATGATTGCTTAGAAGAAATTAATTTTAAGAAGAAACCAGAAAAGTACTTATTATCGTCTCCTTATATAAAGAATACAGGTCCTAATGTAGCAAATCTTAATAATAGTGATTCAAACGTGACTACAGATCTTGTAGGAAGTGAATCCCTATGCAGTGATCAAAATAATGGAATTAACGAAATAGAAAATAATTGCAGGGAAGAAATTCCGTTTCAAGAGAAACAAGTAGAGTCACTATCATCGTTTCCTTACTCAAGCAAAAACGATATAGATCCCGTGTCAAATGCTACTAATACTTATTCTGACGAGACAAAACATTTAGTGAAAAGCGAACATGTCAAAGAAAATGAAGAAGGCTGTTTAGCATTTGAAAATCTTCAAAACCTCATTGATTCCGATGTTATTGAACAAATATAGAATCGTTCCCTACAAATACCCAACAAAATGTAACTAGCCATACCGAAGATTTAAACTCACAATGTTTTGATCTGGAAGATTGTCATAGTGATGATAGTATTAAAGATCCAAATTATGATTCTGATTCATCTTCATGAAGCAGTTCGTCATATTCAGCAACTTTTAATTCAACTTCAAAACATCGATTAAACTTAGCAGAAGAATCTTCTACTTCAGTAACTGAGTCAGAATCTAACATCGGACAGTCGAAAGACGTTGAAGAAAAAAAGACAAGAAAAAGGATTCGTAAGTGTGGATAAAATTAAAAACTAAGATGTTCCAATAAAGATCATGATTCCAATATGTTGTATCTTTAAATTCTTTTATAGAGATTTTAACTATTTTTCGAAGAAAACTGTAACATATCAATTTTTTTGAAAAAATTACTCAACTCAAAAACCGTTTTGTTTCATAAAAAGATTTAGGTAGATTATGAAATAATGATTTATTTACTTCTTTTTAATGCTATTTGAAAATATATAAATTCACTTCCGGGCTCATCTATTCGCATTTTAAAAATGACAAAAATTGTTTTTGCTCTCCTGAAAAATTTTGTTATTTTGACTTATTACACTTTTCTTAGGAACGTGCGATATAACAAAGATTGATAAAAGCAAGACCTCGTACCTAGCCCACATAATGAGAAACGACAAATATAACCTGCTACAATTAATAATTGAAGGGAAGATAGAGCGCCCAAGTAGAGTAACCAGAAGAGACATGTCATGGCTTCGCAATATCAGAACTTGGACGAGCAGGAACATTCAACGATTAGTAATAAGAGTGGCGCAGAATAGAAAACATTTTGATGTAGTGATCGCAAACCTGCAGTAACGGAGAGAACCAGAAGAAGAAGAAGACGTGCTATACTTGACTTGAACACTGTTTCCTAATCATCCAGACATGCGTATACGTCGCAATTGACGTATGACGTCCCTGCATCTCTGGAATATTATTTATACTGAGAACACAGCCCCTCATATCAACAGCATTTATGAACTTGAACTGGTTGGGTGAAATTTGACTTTCACACAGCTTGTAAATTCTCTCATGGATTCCCTTTAGGAACAGCTTTAAAAGATGAATCAGCAAATTGATCGTACGGTATTCCTCTCATTTCTTGGCTCCTGTTTTCGTTAGTGTAGCATTTTAATTTCCTTAATTTTAAAACTTTTTACGAAACTGTATTTTCTCCCTCTGTCTAGAAATTAATGTTTTATCGCTCTGAATACATTTAAGTATTTATATGTTCTAATGAACACTTTCACGTTTCCCTTAAACTACGTCACTCTCTCCTCTTCCCTCCCTTAAAAAATAAAAAACATTCCCCGGCATATGGTTAACTTTGAACTCGAAATTTAAACTTATGTGCCAATCGATAATGTTTGACAAAATTATACAGTATCACCGTATTTTACCATTAATGACTGGTCTAATAACGTAAATTTGAAGATTGTTCACGTCCGCCGCGCCGATTGACTTCGCGCGAGCAAAGGTGAGAAAAAACAGTTGTCAAGGTGGGAATGATAATGTAAATAGAAAATATAAATATTACATCTGACCTTGCCATTGGATGATTAACGCAGTTTTAGATGCAATTTAAGGAAACAGAATTCAACGAAGATGGAAAACATTACAAATTTTGTGTATTATTATTAAAAAATTTAAATTCAGAAAGTTTACCATTATTACATCAAAAAACACAAAGAACAAAACTATATAATAACAATTATTCTTACTATAGTGTATTTTTATGTATGAGAGAGTAATAAAACAATAAATTATGTATGCAAATCCCTAAACTGTTGATACGGGTGACTCAATGAAAAACAGATATTTGTCAACAAGTTTACAGAAGTATATAGGAAAACAATTTTAAATTGAGTATGACCACCAGGTATAAAGGTTGGAGCAGAATAGAATACAATACCTACTTGTGAGGGTTACTAATCCCTAAATAAGGTTGCCAGTGTCGGAGTGATGGAGGTTAATAGGTACTAATGAATTTGCAAGAAATGTAAGATGTTTATTTTATTGGTTATATATAACCAATAAAAGTTTAATAAGTACCTACCTATTTGCAAAATAAAGTTTAATTCTTTAGATAAAATCAAACGTTTTATTTTATCTGAAATGAGTGCATTCCACGAAGTGAGGGTTTCAACAATCAAACATTTAATTCTTTAATTCCAGGAATCTACGACAGTAATTGACTAGATAATTACCTTCTAAACTTATTCCACAGAAAATGTGATAGTGGGTTTTTCCATTTTGTAGGAAGGTCCAAGTGGCGTATTCAAAATTCTTAACAGTTCACTAAAAGTAGGTACTTCAGTTGCAAGGTGCAGTTTATTGTGTATACTAGTGTTATGGTGACCAATAAAAATTGGTCCTTTAACAGTTAATGAAAAAACATTAACATTTAATTGTTTTAAATCATTTACAGACAAACGTTTATGTGAAAGTGTTGATGAGACCGTTGAGTTAGTTAGCAGTACACTTGGTGTTGGGAAATCTACGATTTACAGAGTTATTAAAGAAGAGAAATGTCGTAGTTTTCAAATGCCACGTAATGCTCCAGGGAAACCAAAATTTCAAATAGAATATCATTTTAAAGAAGGACTTCGACGGAGAGTGCATGAATTCTTCTTTAGACAAGAATTTCCAACATTGGATAAAGTTCTTGTCTCAGTTTGAGATGATAAGGATTACCCAAAAATGAGTCGAAAAACGTTATGGAAACTTTTAAAAGAAATAGGCTTCCGCTGGAAAAAGAATCCCAGAAAGTCTATTTTATTAGAAAGAAGCGATATTGTCATATGGAGAAGACATTTTCTAAGAACCATAAAGGAAATGAGAAACCAAAAAAGAAAAATATTTTATCTTGATGAAACATAGATCAACGATGGTCATACACCAAATAAATTTTGGCAGGATGAAACTGTTACAAGTCAAAGGCACGCTTTTGTAAATAACTTATCTACTGGTTTAAACCCACCATCAGGAAAGGCACGCAGGCTGATAATAGTACACATTGGTAGTTCAGACGGTTTTGTTGAAGGTGGTTTATTAACTTTTGAATCAACTCGTACCGGTGACTACCATGAAGACATGAACGCTGATGTCTTTCAAGAATGGTTCGAACAAATGATAGATCTTCTTCCTAAGAACTGTGTAATAGTAATGGATAATGCAAGTTATCACTCCAGACTTATAGAAGGACTGCCCACAACCAAGTGGTTAAAAAAAGACTTGCAGAATTGGCTGAGTTCAAAAAATATTACGTACCATTCAGGATCTATAAGAAAGGAACTTTATTCGTTGTGTGCCCTTCATAAAGAAAAATTAAAAAAATACGAAATTGATGAAATTGCCAAAAATCGTGGAATGACAGTACTTAGATCCCCACCATATCATTGTGAATTAAACCCGATTGAACTGGTATGGGCACAGATAAAGAGTGAACTTTCAAGAAAAAATACCACTTTTAAAATTCATGATGTTAAACAGTTGCTTTTGGAGGCCGTAAATAATGTAAAACCTGAAAACTGGGAGAGGGCAGTAAATCACACTATTAAAGAAGAGGAAAAAATGTGGAAGCTGGACAATATTACTGATAAAATGATCGAGCCAGTTATTATAAATCTTGGTTCTGAAAGTTTATCTTCTGAATCTGATTTGGATTTGTAACAAGTAGCTGTAAGTTTTATATTAATATTTTTATTCATCTATTTAACATACCTTAGACGGTTTTAAAAACTCTTTTTCTCTTTTGTAATTTTTAAAAATTAAAAAAAATGTGAATTTTTTAAAACCCTTTTTAATGTAGGCCAGTCAGTTCTAATATAATGTGTGATAAAAGAGGTCACTTTTGTTTACATACACATAACACTTTATAACACTGAAATAATTCATTTATTTTTTACAATTATTCAAAGTAATTTTTCAATTAATCTTGAGCACGCCCATAGAGTGGTCGGAGATACCAGTTAAAATTATGCTAATTACTCTCTCGTTCATAAAAATAAACTATAATTATTCACAGGTCTACAAAAAAAAAACTTGTTGAAAGATGTTTTAAATTTGACAAGTGTTTTATATAATTTTGGTGTGCTGATTCCAAATCTGCAAACCAATTTTTTCTATCACGTAAGATATTTTAGCAAATTAAAAAAACACTAAATGTGCTTATAAATACATTTATTAATATATTTTAAAAATAGGAGTAATGCTCAAAATGAAGAAAACTACATATTTTATATGCACAACTTAATGAAGCATTTTCACGGGAGAAGCAATCGCAATTTTAAAGGCTTTAGACAAGTGTAAGAGTCATGCAAGCTCAGATTTTCTTATCATTACTGACTCTTTATCTGTTCTTCAGAGCTTGAGGCAAATATATCCAGTACATGCTATTCTGCAACAAATACAATTAGAACTTTATCACCTACAAAACAGACACGTGAACGTTACATTTCTCTGGGTACCATCACATACAGGTATCGCAGGAAATGAAAAAGTAGATGAATTAGCAAAGAAAGCTGCTACTGACGAGCAAACTGAAATTATGACTACAATTCCATTCAGTGATATCCAGCTCAATATTAAACAGCACTGTGTAAAAAATTGGCAACAAATGTGGAATTCTACTAAGGCTAACCTTAAAAACGTGAAAACTAGGATTGGCACTAAACTACAATTTCCAGAAAACAGAAGGCAACAAGTGATTATAAACCGACTAAGAATTGGACACACAGCGTTAACTCACCAGCATCTCATAACAAAAGAACTACCACCTGAATGTTCCTATTGTGAATGTCCAATAACTGTTCAACATGTATTGATTGAATGTCCTCTTTATTCCTACGAAAGAGCCATCAACAACGTACCAGAAGAAGCAAAGAAACTTAAAGATATTTTAAACAGTAATGTATCTAATACAATCAAATTCCTTAAGGACA